TTTAATGTACATTTAAGTTTCAGTTTGAAAAAAATACATACGGATTTTATATATCTCAGTTGATTCGATACGCAAAAACATGCTCTGCGTATGAGCAATATCTGGGAAGAGTTAAATTTTTGACAAGTAAGTTGATGATACAAGGATATCAGCGGCCTTATTTAAAATCATCATTTTGTAAGTTATATGTTTGATACAATGACCTTGTCAGAAAATACAATTTATCATTGAGTCAAATGCTGAGTGACGTTTTTCATACTAATTGTTAGTCCATTATTTATACCCTGAATTGACAATGGATTTTTTCCGTTATTTCCTGATCATGACAAGGAGCACACGGCGGGTGTAACCTGTCAACAGGGGATGCTCACTCCGTGGCACCTGATCTCACAGTCACCTATGATTATTTAGAGGTCCGTGTTTGCACTGCTTCTATTTTATATTGTTTTAAGGGTATTTGAGCTTGAATACTGTTCGTTATCTCCATATATTTCAAATCAGCATAATAAATAATGTAATAAAAAAACATGCAATATTATAAGATTTTTTTAGCATTGCTTTTGAGATTTGTTTCTAAGCCATGATTTTACAAGTTTCGTTGTTTACGAGGTATGGAGAGACCAGAGAATTCATTACCACGATGAAAAGTAAAAAAAAAATTATATAAATGACAACCCACCACATCCTCAACCATTATAAATCAATTACCCATAAACCATATTTTTTTGATTCCACGAAAACATAAAGTTTTAGAGTTATTTAACATGAGATACTTTATTTCAATATTCTGAACATTGCTTGACAAAGTAAGTTTGTATGACTATAGTCATTCATCAAGACAGTTTCCATTAAGTAGTCCACTAACTTTAAACAAATTCAGGTAAAGCACAATAACAAGAGGCCCAGGGGCCACATCGCTCACCTGAGTGAAAGACCTTTACTTCCAAGAATTATGGATGTAACTGATAGAGTATGGACTTCCTCTTTTTATTCATTTACTGTAATTGGGCTTGATCTAAGCATAAAATTGCTAAGAATGGCTCTTTTCAACCCATGCTTAATGCCTACCTCATTATCAATTTAGTCATAAAGAGGTCAATCTCGGTATTTCTGCAGAATATAGCACTTATACTGTCAACTCTGAATTGTTATACGCTATTATTGAACAATAACATTTCTCTCCTTTTTGGTGGGTGTAACATTAGCTATGACAGTTATAATAAAAACAGAAAATGTGAATAAGATTTTCTTTTATTTCTTTACGAAATTCAACAGATTTGGTGAAAATTTATCAGACAATAAGTAGTAATATAATAAAAACTAAGAAGTGTTAATAACAATCAACTATCTAAATTTCATATGACTTCAACAGACATTATATGCACACAGTATCAAATATGCAATATTGCAACAATTTGTGGCAGAAATGCAAAGCTTTCTGACAATAACAGTGCATGTACACATAGATGCTCACAGTTCAAACATTTGTTTAGAGGAAAGTTCAATACAGCAAAGTAATCATTTGAAAGATTCTAAATTTTATTGATTTTCAAGTTCACGTAATAGTTAATCTTTCCTATACATAATGATAGCGAAAACTGGAAAGATTGCAACTGAAAGTGAATAAATATATGATGGTCAACAGACTGTGAATTTGAATATCAACTATCATTTTAAAAGAATTTTTAATAAGTAACATATTGGAGTACCTGCAGGAATCAAATTACCTAAACTTGATGGTAATATTCCAAAATGGAATGATAAAGATCTTTTTGCAATCAATAATTTTGATTTTAAAGACCAGTCATGAGAAATTATAGTGATCCACCTTTTTTTCCCTCTCTTTTATAGGAAAAATTGTAATGTTATAAAGAGGTAGGTTTACCTCCCTTTACGGGCTGTCCATTGACCCCCTCTTTTCATACTTACCTGGGAATAAGTGTTTAATATACACTGTATAGTCAATTCCCATTAGAGTATAATATAATGGTGGTCACATATTAAATATCTCAATGCTGGAGAAAATTAAATATCAATTAGTATGGAGTTAATTGAAATCAGCAATACACTAGTAACTTAGAATGAGTTGTCAGTTTCTCTCTGATTCTGCAGGTTGCTTTCCTATTCTACACAGGTAACTACATCTAGTAAAAGTAAATGTTTCAAGCAATTTCTGAGTGTTTTGAAATACAAAAATACAATAAAAAATTAAATATTTTAAGAAAAAAATCAAAAAAGATAAATAATCAAATCAAAATATTTCAACACAAAGTTTCATATATACAATGAACATTATTTCAAAACAAAATGATGTAAATGATATTTATAAAAAAAAACAAACAAAAAAATCCTCTAACCGAGCTGTGCTTACAAAATGTATCAAATTCTAATTCCGCAACAAGAATAAACAAGTCGCTCTAAACAAAAATCAATAAGTATGCTGGATGGTCATGATCATTAAACTAATCTCTGAGAGCTTTGTACTAATTCATAGATAATGGCTTTAAATATAGTGTGTGAACATTTGCAAGTATTTCATTTTCAGGTGTATCTATTGGTTAATTTGTAGACCACCCAGCCTGTTTAAAGCCTCAGCAATCGTGATACATGTACATATGTATCTACAATACTGCATGAGTTTGATTATAAAGTAATTACATAAAGATTTGAATTACATGCATGATACAAATTAATATTTACACTTAAATTGTTATTACATTTGCTCTGGAACAAATATTAATTCATATAAATGTAAAAGTTTATACTCTCATGTACTCCAGTATTGTTCTGTATGGACTAAATGTCACAATTAAGACACAGTGCGTAACATTAATAAACTTAAAATATTTCTATACAGCAATTTTTTCATGAACAGATAATATTCAGTGAATTTACTTCAAAAATTATAGAATATACAGTGTTGAACATATATCAAAGATACCAATTACTTGATGCAAGTTATATTTCTAGTACAACTCTATAATCATTATTTAGCAGAACTCATTAATTGTTTTAAATTAAACTTTGTAAACAATTCATGTAATCTCAAAATGTTTCATGTATATTCAAAATACCAAGTTCATGATATTCAGTAAGGGTAATAATGAATCAACAACATCAATACATACAGTATATACATAATTTATAAATATTAACACATAAAACACAATGATCATCGTTTTTTAGACATGAATGATTGTCATTGATGGTACATGAATTTTCCTTACATGCAACATTCAATTATTTTGCACATTTATTAATTGTCTGTTAAAAATTAATCCACAGTAAAAGTCTATATTAGGATTCCTGTTCAGCCAACTGTTTTATGATCATTAATGAGTTATTACAATTTTTTAAAGCTATTCCGTGCATAAATAAAATGATAAAAAAGATTAAAGATAAATATATGCCTAAAAACAAACAAAATTTTACATCAAGTAATCGGTGGATAAGATACTGTATACAGGGAAATATTCGCCTCATTTTATTTTTTCCCCTACATCAATCTTAGAGGTAGACAAATTTAAAACGGAGTAAATTTAAAGAACACAGTATGATTTCTTCAATGAAACTGTGACAGGGGAGAATTTAAAACATTGCAAAATTGTGTGAAAGGGTGAAAATAACACAGCCGGGGCGAATATAACCCTGTATACGGTAATCAATGTACCAAATGTCACTAAGTGACACTGGCACATCGATAGGTGGGAGAGGGGACAAGATGACGTATCTCCCCCAAATAAATACTCTTGCGTCCCTTCTATCAGATTTATAAAGTATATATACAGTAAACCATTTTATGGTCTGACAAATATGCCTCAATCACATCAGTTTCACAATGAGGGATGTTTGTGAAAATCAAATCAAGTTGTGAACCTGAATCATGAGTTACCTTTTTTACCAATTGTGTGCATTTTAAATTCAACTTCATAAAATTCAGAAATTCTTTGTGACCTGTAAACAAATCAAAATTGAAATCTCCAAGAATTATCAATTTTTTCTTTGTGTCTACAAAAGGTTTTAAGTGCAACATAACTTCACTTTCAAATTTTGTAAAGAACATGCTGGGAACTTGTATAAAACAACTATCTGCACTTCTCCAAGGTCTCTGAAATTTATTAAAGCTATGATGAATTCAAGCAAAGTGTTTCTGAATTTTGAGACTCCTGTCATCAAATGGCCCTGTTTAACGTATAATGCTGTTCCATGATGAGGACGATTGCTGTCACTTCTCTTTTCATGATTAAACAAAGTCAAGTAACCTTCCATCATAAAATTCTGTTCATCATTAATGGTTAATCTTGTTTCTGAAAAACCAATAACATCTGATGCTACAACATTGGGTTCATTTTTAATTTCATCAAAATGTTTATGAAGAGATCTTGCATTATTAAACATGATTTTTAGTTTGCTCTGCTCTGTTTTGTACAATGGAAGATAACACAGTTTTAGAGGTGCTTCCTTCCTCATTCTTTCCATTTCTTCTACGACTTTTTCATCAACAGTTAATGCTTGCTCATTGAAATTCAGAATATGCAACTTGTCAACAGATCTAACTCTACTAAGAGCTACATAATGAATGTGGGGTGTTTTCCTTATCCTTGATTGAGACAAATCTACTACAATTTCATCAACAGTGCAGCCCTGAGCCTTATGAATTGTCTTACCAGCAGCTGGTCTTAAAGGAAACTGTATTCTTTGATATGTAGTTGAATTGAAAACAAAAGATTGCTGACAGTCAAATATTGGTGTCCAATCATCCATAATATCATCATGGAAAAGATGTCTGTATTTCTGTCGAGCAATTCTCCCTACTGCAGAATCTAAAAACTTCACCCACACTATACTTGGCCTTGATACACCAGCTAATCTGTTTTCAACAAGAAATACAGTACACGATGAACCATTTGTCAAGCCATCAGTAACATCAATATTAACTGTAATGTCATATATCATTCCAATGGCTAGAGTTAGTCTTGTCATGAGATTTGCAGTTTTGCTTACATCATCCTGATTTTGCAATGATCTGAGTAGTCATCTTTCACAGACTTACTGTGGTCTTGGAGGACACTGTCAACAGCTTTTACAATGACTTTTTCACCAGGAAGTTGCTCTATAAGTTTATTGTTATAATCATCTACTTTTGCATTCATTGTGAAAAGATGGGGAGCATTGTGTGGATAAAGTGGACTATTTTCAGCAATGATGCACTTGTGAATTATATCTAAGTCCTCAGAAGTCATCTCATTGTGACGAAGGCGGTTCAAAAGCTGTGCAAATTCTAAATCATCCTTTTGTGGCATTACTTCATCTAATTCAAATAAGGTGAAGTTTTCTTTCCAGAGATTACATGCAAGTGCTTGGGCATTTTGTTTTAAATCCTGAAAAATCCATCCATCCATGATTGGTTTAAGTTGAAAGAAATCTCCAACAGCAATAATACTAATGTCTCCAAAGGGCCTCTTCAAACCAGTAAGAAGCTGAAGTCTATCGTTGATGAATTCCAACTTTGCATTGCCAACCATTGAAATTTCATCTATGATGACAACTGACAAATTTCTGTATTTAGTTCTAAATGTGTTCAATTCATCACAATGCATGTTTTGCTGCCTTTGGTTAATTTTCTGATGAAATGCAGAAGCAATTGTTTGACCACCAATGTTAAATGCAGCTTTACCAGTGTATGCACAAAGAAGAATTCGTATATCATCTGGATTTTCTCCCTCCTTAGCACATAAATACCGATGTAAAGCTTGATAAAGTGCTCGAATTACCACTGACTTCCCAACGCCTGCACCTCCTGAGAGATATGCATAAATAGGTCCCTGTTTACATTTGATCCATTGCATCACATGATTGAAGAATTCACGTTGCTTCAAATTCAGACTGGCTACAAGCTTTAAATACTCATCATCAGGTAATCTAACAGAACTTTGCTCACTCAATTGTCTTGTTAATGGAATTCCAACATCATTTCCTATATCATACTCTCTCTGTTCAATTGGCCTTTCAGGATTAAAGTGAACAAATTTTTCAGAGTCAACATTTCCTTCATATTCATCTTCTGCCTCAGTTTGTTGAGCACCAGGAGCTAATTCATCATATGCTTCTGTCAAATCATCTTGCACCATTTGTTCTGCCTGCTCAAGCGCATCAGCATTGTGTTCATACTGTTTGATTTTCTGAGTTAAGAAAAATTTCTTCTGGTTAAATGACTGCTCATAGCTCTGCTGTCCACACAGAAGATCAGAACTTTCATTTCGCCATGGAGTGAACAGCATTAGTTTTTTCTGTATAGAAATTTTCTGGATCTGTTTTTAAACTATAGCGCACATATCTTCAAACTATTGCCTTTATTCTGCGCTTGATTTTGATTCCATTTTTCAAGACAACTAATGTGCTGTCATCTGTAAATTCACTTTCAGTATCAGATCCACTGTCTTCATTTTCTGACTGGTGTGTTTCATCATCATTTGTTTCCATTTCAGACAACTCAGTTATATTTTCTTTTGGGAAAACTACATCTATCTGTGAGACATAGTCAGCTAAACACCAGTTTTCAAGTTGTTTTGGACGTTTTGCATATCTTTTGACTATGTTACTGCATTCTATGTCTGTGGAGTTGGCATTCAACTTTTCAAGTTCTGAATCAGGTTTGACAAGTATTACACGTTCATCAACTGGAGATGTGTTTATAAACATTACATCTCTTGATGCTTTTGTAAGTGGCATTTGCAAAACCAGATATGCTGCTTATTGTGCTCCAACTTCAACACTGTTAAGAAATGGATTTCCAATGTGTCTAACTTGTCTCTTAATGTCTAGATTGCCTTCTCTTGCTTCTTTTGCAGCTCTACTCAGAAGATCACTCATACCCCTTTGCATTTACTTATGTATGAGACAATGTACATTGCACAAGCATATGGGTCCAAGACATACTGAATGTCAATATTAGCTGCCCATGCATGAAGAAGGGTACTGTTGTAAGCATTCACTCTAAGATCGCAGGGTTTACGCTTCAAAAATACTTTGGGTCCTCTCAAGGAACTTCTGATACATTTGATATAATCATCTTCAGATAGCTGTACTACATCCTGCAAGAACTCTTGAAAACTGAAGCTTACATCACATCCATTTTTAAATTCATTCAATTTGTCCTGCATAGCTTTATACATCTTCTTGTATTTCTCAACTTCACTGTCCAAAGGTTCTAATATCATTGTAGTTTGGAGTGGTGGAAGTGGAAATCCAAATCTACAAACAGCCTTTCCTCTTTTTTTGCATGTTTGAGAGTGTTTATGCACCTGTAATTCTAGCATCTTGTCTTCTGTATTTCTTTCACATTTTAAGTAGCTATCAACAAATGCGATAATTTCCTTGTTATCATTTTCCAAGTATTTTGGAGCATTTTCAATCCAAACAATCATGTGAACATGTGGTGATCCCCTTTGTTGAAATTCAACCCTATAGAAGAAGTCCTGTACCTTGCCAATAGGATGATGATTACTCTTGATCACAGTATTCAAAAAAGTTCTAAAACGATGATCAAAATACCTTGTACATGTAATTGGATCTTTTTGAACTAACTTTGATTTTTCAGTCCACGTCATGCTCTCAATTTCTGAATCTGTGTATTCTTTGCCATCGTTTAAGACTCCTAGTGCTCTTATCAGATCATTCCATCGTGTATCTGCAGCAGAAAAGGACATAAACCAAGTTGGTAGACCAAGTTGTCGTATCATTGCAAAAACATCTTTCTTCCTTGTTTCAAGATATGGAGGAGAATTTCTCAACTGTTTGAATACGTAAAATCCCTCATTGTGTCTAACAATGTTGTTAATTTGATCAGGATTTCTTATTTCATTTGCAGTAAAGGTTTTCCCTTTTGTTTTGCACTTTCTAAGAGCTAAATTGCATTTGTCTGTTACCTGTTTTAGTTGAATTTTTTTCAATTTGAAAAACAAGTTTGGCACCGACTGTGCAGCACGTCTATCAACACTTCGTAATTCCCACTTGGCAATATCAGCATATGAAACAGGTGTTTGACGCTGATTGTTTTCTAATCTTCCTTTACCACAAAATATTGTTGGAAATGACAAATACTCTGCCATTTGATCTTGATACAAACTAAGTGGACGTTGTCCCTCTCCTGGAGCAAATGTGAAGATCTGATTCATATCATACGAGCCGCTGTCTAATAGTGTATCACAATTTCCATCCTTACCACAACTATCAACTTCGCAGAATTCGTCTGAGTCTGATTCATCTGATTTATCATGCAGTGTTGAACCTTGATTGGTGTGACCCTCAATAAACTCTCTCATTAATTCATTTGCTGAATTGGTAACTTCATGGAACCAGTTGTCATCTATGTTTATGTTTGAATTCTGATAATATTCACTGTTTTTCATTAACCAATGTAAAGCAATCAAAACCTTTGTAGGTCGAATATTTTCATGACAATAAGAGTGCTGAAAGGATAGTTTTCTTTTTAACTTCACAGGTATTGTAATATTTTCATCAAGTCTCCTAGGAAGACTATTGATTGTTGGTTGAATGTCAACTGGCACATTTACAACATTTCCTTTTACAGAATACTGCCCTCCTCTGGGTAATTCTCTTATCTGCATGAAAGGAATTCTTAAGGATACAAGTCTTTCTTCCAATGGTAACAAATTTAGTTCACTTGGTTTTTGTACCCATGTCATTCCATTTGCTAAGGAGAGTTTTGGAGTTCGACTTTCTTTTAAGCTTGAATTGCAAGTGTTGCATATCCATTCCTGCCCATTTACAGACTTTGTATTAGTAAGATACTTTCTTTTGATTTCAGCATCCAACAAAATATTATCGACATTTGATACACTTTCATGAAACCATGTCTGTTGGCAACATGTGCATACAAACACAGGACCAATTCTTACATTGTTGTGAAAATTGTCAACACACTCCACGGCATCAACTCCAAATTTACTTTTTCTGTATCTTTGTTTTTCAGTTTCAATATACTTTAAATTCTCCCGTGAGTGTGCTTTTGATTGTTTTGCAGCAATGTTTTCCGATGTTCTATATTCTTCATTTTTTCTTTTTTCTTTCTTCTTCAATCTCTCTTTTCTAATTGGTCAGGATTTTGTCTCATTTCCTTTTTCTTCATTAAATCTCTTATTTGCTCATTATGCCTGTACTCTTCTTCTTGCCTTTTAATTATCTTTCTGTACCTTTCCTTGTCTTTAAACTCTGGATCTTGTCTTTTGTTTCTCTTACTGTCCCTTTCCTTGTCTTTAAACTCTGGATCTTTTCTCTTGTTTTTCTTGCTGTCTCTTTCTTTCCCTTTATACTCTGAATGTTGTCGCTTGTTTCTCATACAGTCTCTTTCCTTGTCTTTAAACTCTGGATCTTGTCTTTTGTTTCTCTTACTGTCCCTTTCCTTGTTTTTAAACTCTGGATCTTGTCTCTTGTTTCTCTTGCTGTCTCTTTCTTTCCCTTTATACTCTGAATCTTGTCTCTTGTTTCTCATACTGTCTCTTTCCTTTTCTTTAAATCTGGATCTTGTCTTTTGTTTCTCTTACTGTCCCTTTCGTTGTTTTTAAACTCTGGATCTTGTCTCTTGTTTCTTTTGATGTCTCTTTCTTTTCCTTTATACTCTGAATCTTGTCTCTTGTTTCTCATACTGTCCCTTTCCTTGTCTTTAAACTCTGGATCTTGTCTCTTGTTTCTCTTGCTGTCCCTTTCTCTTTCTTTAAACTCTGGATCTTGTCTCTTGTTTCGCATATATTCTCTCATGTACTCCTTTTTATCTTTCTTTATTTCTGCTGTTTTTAAGTGACCAGTATTACTACCAACAGATTGTTTATTTGTAAAAGCAGTTGTTGACTGATCTAATCTACAATATTGATGTACACTTTGATTATTTCTTGGGAAGCTATGAATAAGTGTATGAAAGGCAACAGGCATCACTTCAAATTCAGTTGCAAATTCAATGTGCATACTTTCATACATTGCA